AGAGTGAACAAGGAGGAGCAGTACATGAAAACAGACACTTTTTTCAGACTTTAGCTATTGTGAACGTACAAAAGTAGGTACATGGATGAAATATATGAACCCCAAAAAGGGCATAATATGGGCCAGGGACCAACCAATATGGGATTTTTTGAGCCGATAGCGATATCAATATTGGAGAGAAAAGAGAATAAGCTATTGACATATCAGCAGATATCTTTCTTGGATCTATGTGATCTGCAGTGATATATGTAGATGTACACATTCATTTCTTTGATACCTCAAATGCACTGAACAAACACTTAAATTAAAATATATATAATGAAGACAAGATGGTCACAACTTTGTTTTGGCATCAGCTGAAGTCATAACTTTCTTGTGATGTTCATGGTGTTGAGCTTGACCATGCACTCAAAGTTGCAAAAATAATATTAACTGTGTGAATTCAGCACAACCATAGATCCAGTGTTTTGGGCTAAGAGACAATTCTACCCTCTATGATGATGCATTGCTATTTTGTGTCTTTGCACCTTTCATTGTTTGAATGTATTTTTTGATTTTGTCTATCCGATGTGATACATTACCATTAAGTTCTTGCTTAGAACTCAAATCTAACCATGCAGACGATTTTAATGCGGTGCATTAAGGAATATTTCGGTAAATCTTGTAAATTAGAATATTAATTTAATAATTAGTCCGTATGAATGGAGTTATTTCAAGGTTTGAATTTGGTCCGACACTATTTTGATGAAAGATCTGATAGCTTCCACGAGCCTCCTCATAGGTTTATTTTTTTTAACCTGCCAAGGGCAGACCTTTCCATCGCCTTCTGTTTTAGAGCAGATAATGATTCTCTTTTATTTGGAATAGGATTGCATTTTCTCTCTTTCTTCCCTCCTCACCTTTACCTTTCCGTCTCCCGCTCCACCCCCCTTTACCCTATCCCCCTCCCGACAGTTGGCCACTGCTGCTCCATGGCGGCGATGCTCTATCGCTCCGTCACAGAGCGAGCGAGGGATGAGAGACAAATCAAAACCACCTTATTTCCCCTCAGTCCCCCTCACCATGCCAGATTGAATTTGAGGTTTTTCATCTTCTTTTTCATCTTTCTTCTTTCCCTGCCTCCCTTGGCGTCCACTGCGAATTACCTGGATCTAAGCCATCTCACAACTCCATGACGCAGTATCATTTATGCATATGGAGGGAGATAGTCGGCAGCCCTCACTGTTGATTCTTTGGACTCGCTTTAAATCCACTTTTTTTTAGTTGTGTGTTCACAAATGATAAGCACCCAAATCTATCAAGTATTCCTCCCTGATTTTAACAGTCTCCAAATTAGTTTTGCTGGCTTTAATGTCAAAACATGGTTAATCTTTAAAGCAAAATGTTGAAGTGTTTCAGAAAATGATTATCATTGATGTTCCTAGGCGACCAATTGCCTTGTCGCTTAAATGGAAATTTTAAATTCTGACTAACAGACTAGTCTGAAGAAAGAAAACAGTCCAAACTGAGGCCTATGAATTTATTTAAAGAATTATCTGCAGGTAATAGATGTAAAAAAAAGTTTGCTGAGTGTGGTTTACCTTAGCAGTGCTAGCATCCCCAGCCTTCAATCCTCCCTGCAGGTTAACATCCATAAGGCCTGTGCTATGTTGTTATTCATTGCTCCAGTCCATATGCCAGCCTACATACATTTTTATCTCAGTTTCCCGGGATCAAAGTACTCCTACGAGATGCTGTCCTTTACATGTAACTGTGCTTCTTTACATCCAGGTAGTAGAGTGGGGAGAGCAGGCCCATTGACCATTGCTTTGCAGTTGAGCTTGAGGTGTATAATCTTTTCAAAGAGAAGATATAGATACATGCACAGATACTCACACAGCACACTATACGTAACACAGCACTGTTTTTTTTTCTCAACTAACCATCAGTTTCCATTTTCTGAAATTGAGACTACGCAGGTTTCTTCATTGTCACTGCTGTAATTTTAATAATAATAGAATTTCAAGAGGGATCGTTAATCTCACTCAACACATAAACAGCAGATTTCACTCGAGGTTACAGGACGCTGTGACCAGGTTTTTTTCTGAGATGTTGTTCCATTTATAGACTGCACAGCCATATACCTCCACATTACAGGTAACTGCTAAAGACACAAACGGGCACACTCACACATTCGTTTTATGAAAGCTCCCCGCTGATTGCACCTGATTTCGGGAGTAGTTACAAATTTATGACCAAGGCGGTCTCATCTGAAAATCAAAACTGACAGGCAAATTTGCATTGCATGCTGATTAAACTGCACAGCAGAGTGTGTTGGAGGAAGCTTGAATAACACCACAGCCTTGTGAAATATTTAGTTTTAAACCTAGATATATATATTGACTTTTGTACTTTTATCCCTATTTGCTCAATTTAAGATCCGACCACACCATCAACATGAAGGGTCGATACTCTTCTTATGAAAGTGAACCACCAATGAAAGATGTTAAAACTTTTCTAACCTCTACAAGTTAAACTCAATAATTTAAAATCTAGAAGTCGAAAACGCTGCAGTGTGATGTGGTTGTGAGTTTTTGGATGGCTGTGTAGGGGCCACGGGCACCTGGAACCTGCTACCTGAGAAAAACGACTCTCATCTCCCACTCCATCGGACCTACTCCCACCCATCCTCCCTTCACCCCACCTTTTCATTTTCAATTATGGGTTAGAATATGAATCTTTAATAGGGTGATAATTGTGCTAGCATATTTGCTGTCACCCACCATTAGCCCAGATTAATTAGCCCATTTACTTTAGCTTAAGAAAGTGTCTGGCTGAGGAATGGGGGCACTGATGGAAGACGGGTGGAGAGAGAGTAGAATCAGCACAATCTGTTCTGTATCATAATGCCATCTTTCTCCTGCTTCTCTCTGTCTCTTCGTGTCGTTCGCCTCTCTGCCTTTTCCCTTAACTTTTCTCTTTCTCTCATCTTACTTACTCTGTTAGTCTGTTTCATCACTCTGCACTCTTCCGCCCCTGCTCTCAGCAATCAATTTATTTTTCAGTCGCGCTGTGGCTTGAGTAGGGAGTTTCAAGAAACTTTCCTACAACTATCACTTCTTTAATTAGCAGAATAGTGGGAACCCAAGGTGCAACTCTTCATATGTATCCCCTTTTCTGTTGGAGTCATTTTGGAAATCATTAATTTGATCAACAACCTGACTGATTTTAAAAAGCTAACCTTATGTTTGACACACAAGCCAGGGGCGGCTGTGGCTCAGTTGGTAGAGTCGGTGGTCTCTTAACCGGGGGATCGATCCCCAGCTCCTGCAGCAACATGTCCGATGTGTCCTTGGTGAAGGCACTTAACCCCAAGTTGCTCGTCAGCGCCTTATGAGTGTGTATGAATGGGATCAATTACTTCTGATGGTCCATTTAGGTTGGTAGGTACATTACATCTACCATCAGGGTGTGAATGTGTAGGTGTGACCTGTGGTGTAAAAGAGATTTGAGTAGTCAGAGGTCTAGAAAAGCGCCATACAAGCTCAAGTTCATTTACCATTGACAAAACATGAAGAAAATGTATGATTCAAACTGAATGTAAGCTTTACTCTTTGAAGCAGTTTTTTAGCACTTTTGAAATACAGAAAGTAAGTATAAAGCTTTTTATGGAAAAAAAAGTTATTAAAGCTTTACTGACCAACATTTCTATATAAACAATAAATCAAATGACTAGGTGTTATGGGAAATGGGGTCCCTACCAGAATTATCACCCAAATCTTGATTGATTTTCAGTTGAACAACTTTACTTTTATGGTTTAAAAAAAAAATGCTCCAACTAAACACTTTCTGAAGGTTAGACAGACGTACGGTCAATACACATACAAAATACTTAATTTGTCAAAGAGGAAGTATCTTCATCAGAATTCGGTGGAGACGAAAATCAGAGCTTAAAGTAGAACGAGTATCGGTCTTAACTGTATCAGGTGGTCTGAAATAAAAGTCAGAATGAATGCTTCTGTTGCTCCACACCTGCAGAATGTGGACATGTGCAAATGTTTCCAAAAGCACTTTATAAAGTGACAGTATGTCAGTGTTGTATAGATTGTTCTCTTGCCCCAAAGGGCCTCAGTAAAATGACTGTTTTAAAGTTCAGCCTTGACACAGTTGTTTCTGACCCCTTGGCATTTCACATTCCAAGTTGACTTTCTCATTCCCGATTCATTGTTCTTGTATACAATGACCAAAAGCTATAAAAAGGATGGAATAAAAGGCTTATTATTGAGTGTTTGGCTTTCGTAATATGCTCATTAACCAAACTATATAAAGTAATTTAACTAAAATATATAAAGAAGTAAACAGCCAGAGACAGAAAAAAGGAAATCAGAGGTAGTGTTCATTTTCAGCGTAATTGGCGGTATGAGCGAACATTTCAGATTCCATGAAATAATTTGATTCTGTGTTAGTGTGAAAATATTGCTTAATGGAGCTTTAATCGCACTCTCCACCTTGGGATAAGGTGTGTGTGTGTGTGTGTGTGTGTGTGTGTGTGTGTGTGTGTGTGTGTGTGTGTGTGTGTGTGTGTGTGTGTGTGTGTGTGTGTGTGTGTGTGTGTGTGTGTGTGTGTGTGTGTGTGTGTGTGTGTGTGTGTGTGTGTGTGTGTGTGGCGATGGAGTAACTTGGCCATGTCACAGCTGTATATCTCTCAGCAGGCAGTGGGAAATGAGGTCTAATCGGAGGGATATTAAAGTCACAATAGACTGCTCCTGCTATTAAGGCCTGTCAGCCCCGGCCTCCTCTCTCACCTTGATATCTCTCAGTCTCTGAATATTTATACGCCCACATCAACGGCTACTCACACAGTACCCTATGTGCATTATTTTATTGTGTGTGCGCGTGCTTGAGTATCCAGAAATGTATCAATCACCTCAGCCTCTCGAGGTCTTTGAATGTGTTTATATGCATTTTGGATCCCTTTGACCGTGCTTATGCAATCAACCTTCATGTCCTCTGATCGCCAGGTGCAGTGGGGGCAAGGCTGCTCTCAGGTCAGAGCAAACCCGTCACCATGGATGTGGATGAGGAGGAGAATATGAGTGAGTCGACTCTGATTTTCGTCATTTTTCAGTCTGTCTGTCCTCCTGTCTAAGCGATAGCTGGTCTCTACTTTTAAATGTCTGCCTGTATTTCATTCTCCTTCTTTTTGTCTGCCTGCATGTCTTCCCTTGTATGTTCTCCTGTCCTTATCTAATGTGTAATCAGTGTAAACAATTTGACTTGCCATCACAAGAATTAGCATTGCCCCTAGCCTTCATTTTTCTGGAATCCTGTAACATGCATTACAATGCTGAACAAAACAACCAAACATCTTTTGTTGAACAATATTACTTTTTACATCTACTCAATTTCCATTCGCATTGAGTAACCGCTCCATAAGCACACACTCGATTAGCATTTGTCCTAACCGGAAACCACCAGGCAGACCAGTGAATACACACTCATGTACCACTGATTTCATTAAACCTTTTTGGGGTAGAGCTAATCATCACATCCAAGAGGCTTCAGGTCATATTACAGATTCCTTTTACATCATTCCTCTCTTCAGAAATTCCTCTCCACTCCATCTCATTGAACTTCAATGAGACTTTTGGGTGTGAACTTGATATCTGAAGCTCAGGCGGCAAGGAAAGACATAATTAAATGTGTTTCCCATCACCTTAACAATTTTTAACTCATTCAAAGAGAGCTGTCGCCCCAGCAGTTCCTCAACCTTCAAGACAAATGAAAAGTTCCTCTTCTAGTGTCATACTTAGTGTTTTTGCTCTGAGGAGATGCATGTTGTTTAGTATTAAGTCAGATATGCAGAGTTTTAAAGCAATCTTATTCAAGGCTCTGAAGCCTTTTTCTTTCATTTCCAGTCAAAGGATATATTTGGAGATAAAACGCAGTCTAAGCTCACACAACCCCTCTTTTAGAATATACCGAGGGAACACCAGAGGAAAACATGAAATCATTTCTAACTTTTATGTGACAACCTTAGCGCTTCTTGAAATTCTTTAATCACATGAATTTTCCCAAGTGAAACACCCAACAAACACTTGAAATGGAATTCTGATGAAATACTTTTTGTCTGTTTGGTTGGTTCATGCAACCCCCACAGGGATTTCAAGATCTGAAAAGATCCAAGCATATGGGATCTTTTGTCATTTTATAACTGATCGGTGCTGATTACACAGATACTGGCATGAAAATGACCCCAACTGCATGTGTGTGTCATAAGTCAATGCATGGTGTCATGGCTGTTTCTGTATGGCTTTCGTCATCTGATCTGGTCTTAGGCTGTGGACTATTACTGGATATCTATCATCCTGCAAGAAGTGTTTATACTTTAAAATGACCATTATCAGTTTGAAATTTGTTGAATTCTAAATATTAGAATAATGAAAGAGAACTCCAGTAGTTTTTTTTCTGTGTGCCATGATATTCAATGTATCTGTCTGTGCAGCATGCTAGAGTTTTTCCAGAATGTGATTACATTTTTGATGGGTCCCTATTCCCATATATATAACAGTCTGAATAGAATTACTAATGGGCAATCAAATATGTTTATTTAAAGGGCCCTATGAATTCTGTTTGAATGTTTTCAGGTTCATGAATTCTGTTTAACAATTGGAGTATATTTTTTAAATCAGAAAAACTATATTCTTCTTGACTTGCTAGAGACTGTGCCTTAATATTGGATTTGATTATCTCAAGGGTGTGCAGAAGAAGAATGTAAAAAGTACGTAAATGGAGCTTGTTTTGGAGTCCTCTTTCAAAGTCCGTGATTCAAAGGGTTTTTGACTGCTGCAACCAGGAAGCTTGCTCTACAGCAGCCAAAAGCTCCTCAGTAATTTAATTGCTCCCTGGTGAGTGTTTTTGCTTGTTAAAGCATGCAACAGAAGCTCCCTGTTAAATGGAAGAGGCTGCTGGGAAGTGCTCTAGCTTGTAAATTGAGTGATTTGATTTGAGTTT